ACGTCTCCGCCTCGTCGTCGTTGTCGATGATCTCGTCGTCGTTGTCGGCGACCTCGTCTACCTCCTTGCGCAGACGCCTGAAGTGGTCCTCGGTCAGCTGCTCTCTGAGGCTCCTGTCGCCCCACGTCGCCAGGATTTCCTCGATCTCACTCCAGGGGTCGGCCTCTTTTTCCTCCGCGAAGAAACTCTCGACGAAGCCAGCCCCAAACATCTGGCCAAAACGGCCCTTGCCACCACCTTTGCCAGCTCGCTTCGGGCACTCCTTGCTGAAATGACCCACCTGCTTGCATGCCCAGCAGCGGACACGCGCGGAAAACTTCTTCAAGTCCGGCGCCTGCGGGGGTGGCAGGCCACGTCGCTTCCGCTCCTCCGCGACCGCCACCGGGGTCTCCTTCCACGTCGCAAGCACCTGGATGGCTTCATATTCCTCCATCGGTTCCTCACAATCTTGCTCCACCTCCGCCAGGAATGCGTTGACCTCCTCCGGGAAGCCGGCCGCGGGGTGATGCTCCTCGCCCGCTGCCTCCCACACGTAGTCGTCCTCCACCAGGTGCACGCCATGCTCAGGCAGTACCTTCGGGTAGACCGTCTTCAGCGCCAGGGCCAACTTCTCGAACGTCCACTGCCTCTCGCTGGCCGCAAGGACGACGGCGCGCCTGTTGCCTCCTAGGCGGGCGCCCCGAAAGAGGAGAAACCCTTGAGCGACGTCTGGGATCTCCGCGCCCTCCTTCTTGGCCTTCATGAAGATCGTCTGGGCCCTGCCCACGCACGCACTGGCGAGCTCCGCCTTCTCGATCTTCAGACCGAACACGGACTCCAGCGCGTCTCCTACTCGGTCGGCCGCCTCTCGCTCTGGGCACCGGGCGCCCAGGACGGCGAACAGCTTCTCTTCGCCGCCGTCGACCGCCAACTCATCCAGCTCCACATGCTCCAGAGCGTCACAGCCGTTCCCTCCAGATGGGTGCATAACATGGGGCCGAAGGTCTCTGACTTGCCTCCGCGCCCCTTCTCCACCAGCAATCTTGCTCGTGCCCACTTCTTCCAAGCCTTGTAGTCCTGGGCGGCAGCTGCTCCTTCTCCCGAGAATAGTCTGTCACGAATACTGCTACCTCCGTTGCTGCCTCCGTCCGCCATGGCTGTACTCAGGGCTGGTGGCTCAAGCTAGTGACTAGCGTCAAAGCCCGAGCTGTGATGAGGGGTCCTCTAACCCGGGCTTAGAGTTTATTCGGGCTCAGGGTTTAGGCTTTCGGAATCAAGATTTAGCGTTTAGGGTGCAGAGCTTAGTGTTTAGGGCTCAGGCGTTATAGGGCTTAGAGTTTACGGCTTAGGGCTCAGGGCCCAGGGTTTAGTGCCCAGGGCTGACGCATAGGGGCTAGTGTTTAGGGTTCAGGGGTGCAGGGGCTTAGGGTTTAGAGCGCAGGGCTGAGGGCTTAGTGCTCAGGGTTTAAGGCGCAGGCGGCTTCCGTGGCTGAAGGGCCACCAAGTGCGAGCGGGTTCGCACGGAGTTGGGTTTGAATGCGTGGAGTTGAGTGTGAATGCGTTTCAAACCCAACTCTGTGCGCGCCCGCTCGCACTTGGTGGCCCCTCCAGCCAACCCGACGCCCTGCGCCCTGGGTCTAGGGGCGGCTGAGGGGCCCCACCAAGTGCGAGCGGGCGCGCACAGAGTTGGGTGTGAATGCGTTTCAAACCCAACCCTGTGCGCGCCCGCTCGCATTTGGTGGCCCCTGTCAGCCATCCCGACGCCCTGCGCCCTCGGAGCGGGGGAGAGGGGGGGGGGGCGTACGAGCCAGAACCGAGCCGTTTTCTGTATTGGATTGTGTATTGGGCAAGCCAGAACCGAGCCATTTTCGGGCGCCCTCGGAAACAAGGCCTCTGAGGAGCTTCTATGGAGCCTCCGAAGCTCCCTGGGGTTCCCTGAAGCTCCCTGAGGCTCGGAGCGGCTGAGGCGCCACTAAGTGCGAGCGGGCGCGCACAGAGTTGGGCTTGAAACGCATTCAAACCCAACTCCGTGCGAGCCCGCTCGCACATGGTGGCCCCTCAGCCGTCCCTAGACCCAGGGCGCAGGGCGTCGGGGTGGCCCCCCAGCCGCCCCTAGACCCAGGGCGCAGGGCGTCGGGGTGGCTGGAGAGGCCACCAAATGCGAGCGGGCGCGCACAGAGTTGGGTTTGAGACGCATTCAAACCCAACTCCGTGCGAGCCCGCTCGCACTTGGTGGCCCCTCAGCCGCCCCTAGACCCAGGGCGCAGGGCGTCGGGATGGCTGGCAGGGGCCACCAAATGCGAGCGGGCGCGCACAGAGTTGGGTTTGAAACGCATTCAAACCCAACTCCGTGCGAGCCCGCTCGCACTTGGTGGCCCCTCAGCCGCCCCTAGACCCAGGGTGCAGGGCGTCGGGATGGCTGGAGGGGCGCATTCAAACCCAACTCTGCGCGCGCCCGCTCGCATTTGGTGGCCCGTCAGCCATCCAAAAGGTCTGCGCCTTGGGGTTTAGGGTGCAAGGCTTAGGGGTTAGGGTTCAGGGCTTACGGCGTAGGGCTCAGAGATCAGGGCCTAGGGTTCAGGGCAGGGGGATAGGGGTTTAGGGGCCAGGGCTCAGGGTTTAGGGCCCAGGGCTATAGAGCTCAGGGCTTAGCACCTCGGGGCACCACATCGATCTCAGCATCGATCTCACGATCGATCTCACTCAACGGGACACCACGGAACACCTCGGGATACGTGTCGAACTCACTATCGATCTCACTATCGATTTCCTTTTTGGGGACACCATGGGACGCCTCGGGACACCACATCGATCCCAGTATAGATCTCAGCATTGGTCTCACTCACCGGGACACCACGGGACACCGCGAGCCACCGCCGGATGGACGGACGGACGGGCGGGCAGGGGAAAATCATGTGTCTTGACTTCGCCGTAGCAGCGGCGGACATGCTGGGGCTTGGGACTCAGGGCTTGCAGTTCTGGGCTTCCGGGTTAGGGTTGGGAGCCCAGGGGCCAGGGCGTAGGGGTTAGGGTTCCAGGTTCCGGGTTCCGGGCGTAGGGTTCAGGGCTTAGGGCTTAGGGTCTACAAGCTCTGCCGCAGCTGATCACCTCCTGCCTAGGGGCCCACCTGCGGCGGCTGCCAGTCCCACCCGCAAACCACCCTACCATAAAGAACTTTCGGGGACCTAGAGAGTACTTCCTTGTTAAGGAAAGTCTCATAGGTGTATGAACGTCAGGAAAAATATTTCTGCTGCAAAGGATGCGAGGGTTTACAGCACGCATGATTAGGAAATATGTTTTGCAAGGGATGGTGAGGGCTTACAGCACGCATGATCAGGACATTGTAGTTGTTTGCAAGGGATGACGAGGGCTTACAGCACGCATGATCAGGAAATAATAGTTCTGTTGCAAGGGATGGTGCCGGTTTACATCCGGGGGTTGTCGGGAAATAAAGCGTTTTGCAAGGGATGGCGAGGGCTTACAGCACGCATGATCAGGAAATAATATGTTGTGCAAGGGATGGTGCCGGTTTACATCCGGGGGTTGTCAGGAAATAGTATTTGTTGCAAGGGATGGCAGGGTGCAGGAGTTCGGATGCCATAGGGACGCATGGGGCCACAATGTTCAGGGTTTCATAATCATAAGATTAGAGATTCAGGGCTGAAGTGGTCCGGTTTCAGGGCTCAGGGCTTAGGGTTCAGGGCTTCGGGGTTAGGGTTTAGAGCTCGGGGTTTTGGACTTAGGGTTCAGGGCGTAGGGCTTCGGGTCTACAAGCTCTGCCGCAGCTGATCACCTCCTGCCTAGGAGCCCACCTGCGGTGGCTGCCAGTCCCACCCGCAAACCACCCTACCATAATGAACGATCGGGAACCTAAAGAATATTTCCTTGTTAAAGAAAGTCTCATAGGTGTATTATTCAAGAAATAATATGTTTGCAAGGGATGGCGAGGGCTTACAGCGCGCATGATCAGGAAATAGTGTTTTCTGTTGCAAGGGATGGCGAAGGTTTACAGCACGCATGATCTGGACATTGTATGTGTTGCCATGGATGACGAGGGTTGGCAACACGCATGATCAGGAAATCATATGTTTTACAAGGGACGGCGAGGGCTTACAGCACGCATGATCAGGAAATAGTAGTTTGTTGCAAGGGATGGTGCCGGTTTACATGGCCGGGTCGTAAGGAAATCATATGTTCTGCAATGGGTTATGGGTCCAGGAAGTTGGATCACCACAGCGGCCCAGCCCTTAACCAGTCCTAAACCAGCCCTAAACTGGCCCTACCGGCCTTATTGGCCCCTACCGGTCCTACCAGCAGGCACTACCAGCCTTGCAGGCCCCCTACCGGACCTACCAGCCCTACCGGCCCTGCTGGCGCTACTGGCCACACCAGCCATACCCGCTCTACCGGCCCTGCCGGCCTTACCGGCCCTACCGGCCTGCCGGCCCTACCGGCCCTACCGGCCCTACCGGCCCTGCCGGCCCCTGCCGGCCCTTGTCGGCCCTACCGGCCCTACCGGCCCCTGCCGGCCCTACCGGCCCTACCGGCCCTACCGGCCCTACCGGCCCTACCGGCCCTACCAGCCCTGCTGGCCCCACCGGCCCTGCCGGCCCTGCCGGCCCTACTGGCCCTATTGGCCCTACCGGCCCTACCGGCCCTAAACCGGCCCTACCAGCCCTGCTGGCCTTGCTGGCCCTGCTGGCCCTGCCGGCCCTGCCGGCCCTACCGGCCCTATTGGCCTTACCGGCCCTACCGGCCGCAGCGCGGTCACGTTCAGTCTCTGTTTTTTTTTCTGGGTCGCCAGGGACCTTAGGGCAGTCCGACTCGTGTCTCGTCCTGGCACGGTGACGGATTACGTTTAGGCGAGAGGCGAGGAGGGCCGCTCCATCACATCATCATTGGACCTTCGTGCTTCTTCGCGCTCGCCCTCGCCCGCTTCTACCCCCCCCCTGAGCCGAGCGTCCGCAGCCTTTTTGGGACCTCAAGCCGTTCGCGTTGGCACGGCGCGGAGGCAGCACGCCATGAGGATCTCGAGGGGGGGGGAGAAGGGCGAGTAATTAGGAGAAAGAGGGAGAAATGTCACGAGGACGAGGCGGAGGAGGAGGGAGGACAGGCGAGGGAGGAGGGTACGGAGGAGAAGGAGAAGGAGCACGCGGAGGAGGGCAATTACGGAGAAGGAGGGCCAGGACAGAACAGGACATAGCCAGCGGAGGTGAGAAGAGGAGAAAGAGGATTAGGGAGGAAGAGGTGTACACGCTTATGAGAGTGAGGCGTTGGGAATTTAACATGGCTGCAAAGTGTGATCCGATTGCGGCGAAAACGTGATGGCCAGCAAATGATCAGCAGTGATCGGTTCTTGGGGCGTCGGTTCCGGAAATTGGATATCCGACCACTGCATTGCTTTTTGTCCGCGGGCGCCAAGGTGTGGGAGACGGTCAGGCGCCAGTCAAAGCGAGCGGTGGGTTGCATTGACAAGGTAATTAATACAGGAACGAAGCGAAAGAGCAAGAGACGAAAGCAGAGAGCAACCATTGCACAGCCGCATTCTGAAAGAAGTCTTCAAAACGCATGACCAGAGATATCTTCACCTTAGATGGCTGGAACGAACTTCCTGGGCATGGCGAGACAGTTCCGTACGCGGCAGTGGTAGGAGCATTTGCAGTTATTACGCAGCGAGCGGAAACGGTGGAAATTAGGATTACAGCGTGATAGTTTCGGCCGTCGTGCTAAATCGGAGGACGTGTTCGTGAATATGTTCGAAGTTGGTTGACGATATAAGAGGAGATCGTGCACCACATAAGCAAAATGGACGACAGATGTTTCCGCAACTCGAATTTTACATGTTTGAATCTTAGGATGTAATTTATCACAGCGACACCCTTGCCCCGAAGCGGAGGAGAATCGCCAGCCATCCGTTGGACAAGTTGGACTACCACGGCGATGGCATTCCAGACGTGCTTTGGGAAGAACTGACACAGATGCTTGTCCTCGTAGCAGATTGCTGGCCTTCAGTTGGCGTGGTCAACACAACCGTTGTCATGAGAAGTTGGATGGCGTCCAGTTCGCGGCATAAACGACATCATGTCTGGCAGCAGCGGGTATGGAATGCTTAAAGAGACTACCTGGTCAATTGCACGATGGACGGGTTGAAATCATGGTTTCAAGCCTGAGATATCTTGGCGCACCCGGACGGTGGCACGCGTGCGGGGACGTGCGCGGCCGCAGTTTGGTGCATCTAAGCCGTCGATCAAAAGGGGGACCAACACAGTGACGATCCTAATCGTATCAGGAGGCATTTGATTCAACAACCGATTTCTTCCTTCATTGCTGAAGCTATCGCTCTGGACGAAGCTGTCCAGGTAGCTCTGGCCATCGCAATTACAATCATCAACCGGCCGTCATCCCCTTGAGCCAGGCCCAGCGACAGAAAGAAAGAGGAGGCGGGAAACAATGAGAGGAGGAAGGAGGAGTGGCGTTAGGAGGAGGAGGAGGAGGAGGAGGAGGAGGAGGAGTAGGAGGAGGAGGAGGAGACGGAGCAGCAGCAGCAGCAGCAGGGGAGGAGGAGGAGGAGGGAGGAGTATGGAGGAGGAGGAGGGAGGAGTATGGAGGAGGAGGAGGAGGAGGAGGAGGAGGAGGAGGCGAGGGGAGCGGAGGAGAAGGGAGGCGGATGAGGCAAAGAAAGTATTGGCTTGGCCAGGTTGCTTCTGGAAGCTCTCGGACGGCCGCGGACGCGGTGTCTTCAGTCGCACTTGGACGGGCCGCAAACCCACAGCAACATCCACACGCACCCATCCATATCCAAAGCTGGCTCACCTCGTCCCCCAGTGCTGCGATTTGCTATGTGGTTTCGGTTTCTGGAGTCCGTCTCCCAGCCCCCAGGACCATCAAAAGTTGGTTCTGGATCAAAAGCAGACCCTGAGGAAGAGGTCGAGATCCCTTGGGGCCCACGTCACACTCTGGAGGCAAAGGCTCCATGTGCGGGTGCATCGGGCAGTGCCGCGGGGGGGGGCCGTCTCCCGAGGATCGAAGATCGAGGAGGAGGCGGGATCGAGTATCGAGATGGCTTCTAGATGCGTTTGACAATGTTGGGTGGATTCTGGGGCGGGGTGCCCTTAGGGGTCCTCCGACCCCTTCGGGGGCGACGATGGGGGGGATAGGATCAGGGGGGGACGCGTCGGCCCCGCATCGCCCACTGATCGCCGATAGGGGCCCGATAGCCCCACCCCGCCAATGGACGAGCGGATTCGCCACCGTGGGCCTGTCGCCGATCTGTAGGCGATGTATCGCCGACTCCAGCTCGATGTTCCCCCCCCTGGGCTGGTTCCCCCCTCTCGTTGCCCCTCCCCCCTCCTCCCTGGCATCACCTGGTCGGTGGCGGGGTGCGTCCCGCCTCGGCTCCCAACGGCCCGCCTGCCCCCACCGTCTCTCCTCGCCCGCCCTGCTCTGGCGGCGGCGGCGGGAGCGGACGGCGGCTGCCACCCGCCTCGCCTCGCCCCGCCCGCCCGCCTGCCCGAGCGCGTGCCCGAACCCAGCTCTCTCGCAGCAGCCTATGCTTGTCCCAAGGTCCGCGCGGACGCCCCGCGCGCCCAGCCTCACGCCGCGGGCAGTCGGCGCGGGAGCCCCCTGGACCTCTGGAGTACCCAGTTTTAACGTTTCAGAGGAGGGGATGCCCCGCCTGCTCCTCCTCCTCCTCCTCCTCCTCCTCCTCCTCCTCCTCCTCCTCCTCCTCCTCCTCCTCCTCCTCCTCCTCCTCCCCCCACCCCCGCGGCGGCGGCGGCGGTGGCGGGCGAAAAAAGGAAAAGAATCATAAGAAGAAGACGACGACACGGGCCTGACAACGGGCGTCCCACGATAACGTGACTTACCCCCAGTGGGCCCGCCAAGCAATGGGCACCTTATCACGCCCAGGGTCGACGAAAGATGTGCCCTGCTGTGCACTTACCGTAAGGAGCACAGCTTCCCCAGCCGTGGCCAGGCGGGGAGGAGAGGCGCAGCGAGGAAGGCGCGGCACCGGCGGCAGCGACGACGACGACGCCGCCGTCGACGACGACGACGGCGACAACGGCGGCGACGTCAGCGAGCGGCGGCGGCGAGCGTCGGCGCCAGCGAAGTCGCCCGCCGCCGCGGCGGCGGCGAGCGACACCCAGGAGGCTGCGGGCCCTGCCGTGCGCCGCCCTGCTCGGCGTCCTCTTGCCGGCCCTGCCGCGCGCCTTCGTGCCGGGGCTCCAGGCTCGGGCCGGCGCCGCTGGCGCGCCGGGCCGCAGGAACCTCGGCCGTCGTCGTAGTCCTCCTCCTCCTCCTCCCTCCACCTCCTCCTCTTCCTCCTCCTCCTCCTCCTCCTCCTCCTCCTCCTCCTCCTCCTCCTCTCCTCCTCCTCCTCCTCCTCCTCCCTCCTCCTCCTCCTCCTCCTCCTCCTCCTCCTCCTCCTCCTCCTCCTCCTCCTCCTCCTCCTCCTCCTCCTCCTCCTCCTCCTCCTCCTCCTCCTCCTCCTCCTCCTCCTCCTCCTCCTCCTCCTCCTCCTCCTCCTCCTCCTCCTCCTCCTCCTCCTCCTCCTGCCTCCTCCTCCTCCTCCTCCTCCTCCTCCTCCTCCTCCTCCTCCTCCTCCTCCTCCTCCTTTGAATACTTCAGTAAAGGTTTGCTTGGAAGAGAATTGCAGAGTGCGCCGCCCTGCCGCAACCGCGGGGCTCAAGTTTTCAAGGGCGTCCGCACGCTTCTCGCGCGCGTCGCATGCCCGACCTGCCGGTGGCTGTCGCGCATTGGGCTGGGCAGGCAACCTTCGCCTGGCTCGGTTCCTGCCCGCGGTGCCCCGAGTCCGTCTGTGGCTCCCTCGTGTGCGGTGAGGTGCACTGCCCCCCGGCGCCAGCGTGCCCGCAGTGCCCCGCGTGCCCGGGCTGCCCCGGGGCCCCCGAGCCAGCCTGCACCGCCCCTGCGGCAGCGCCGCCGTGGCTCCCTGGCTGGATCGCGTCCGCTGGACTCCTGCTGCTGGGCGCGGCTGGGGGAGCAGTGGTGCCTGCCCTCGCGCTGGGCATCTGGCAGGTGCTGCGCTGGCTGACGGCTCAGTGCCCCCGCCGCGAAACTGATGGCGGCGGCGATGCCCCCACCGGTACTACGACCCTGGCTGTGGCTCCGGTACCAGGGCGAAGCGCTGTACCACCAGCGGCGCGTCGTCGGGGTGCTGGCCTCCTCGGCGACTCAAGCGACTGACGCTGACGAGGTCATCGGCGTCTCGCCGGACGGCGACCCCGAGCAGATCGACCTCTCGGGGGCCTCGCGGGACGTCGAGGCTTGGCGATGGTCGGAGGCCTTCCGCCCTCCCCCGCCTGGGATCCCGCGAGGCCAGGTGTACCGCTTCCAGCAGGAGCCCGACGCCGCCGCCCTCGCCGCGATGCGCGTGGACGCGGAGGCGTTCTGCAACGCCGCCTTCCTCGCGCGCGAGCGGGCGGCAGGACAACCTGCTGTGCTCCCGGCGACGGGCAGCCTGGTCGATGCCGTGTGGCCCGCGCCCGTGGCGCCAGCTGCGGCCGCCGCCGTGGCCCCCGCTGCCCTCGGGCTGCCGCTGGCGCTCCCTGGGATGGCGCCCCCCCGGGGCCCTCCGGCCCTGGGCGCCCCCGCCGCGGCCCTGCTCGGAGCACCCCCAGCCGCGCTGCCCGGCGCTGCACCACCGGGGGCTGTGATGGCGGCCCCGCTGGCCGCCGCGGCGCCTGGAGCCGCCGCCCCGGCCGCTTTCCCCGCGGCCATGGCTGCTGGCGCCCCAGCTGCTGGGGGCCCGCTAGCCGCAGGGCTTGGCATGGTGGCAGCGGCGCCCTACCCGATGCTGGGACGACGTACGGCCCTCGCGGGTCTCCAGTGGCGCCGAATGGCACGGAGGTCATGTCCGGTGACATCGGCATCCACGTGGCTCCTGGCTTCGGTGGCGCGTTGGTTCGGACGATCCGCTCCGACCAGGTGCAGGATTTCAAGGGCCTGGAGGCCGCGGGCGACGCCCGCCTCCTCAGCGTGATCGCGCTGAATGGCCAGCGTACCCGTCGCCCATGGCGGGACGTGTCCAACTCGCTGTCCGAGATCGCCTTCCCCGACTGGGCGATAGAGGGCCCTCGCACCACCCTCTGGTGCTGCCGCTGGATCGACCGTCGAGGCGGCGGGCCGCTCGATCACCACCGTTTCTTCGTGATGGTCCACCGCCTCAACAAGGACAGCTGAGGCGTCCCGATGCATGAGTTCGGGATGAAGGCCCTGGAGACTCTCGGCGCCTACGACTCGCTCGACCTGCCGAACGTCGCGGGGATCGAGTCGCTGATGCGCGAGGTGCAGCTGGTCGAGTACGCGTACGCGAAGCACGACGGCTTTGCTGGCGCCAGCACCGAGGTGGCCGACGGCGACCCGAGTGCCAAGAAGAAGGGCCGTGGCCGTGGCCGCGGCCGAGGAGGCGCCGCTGGTGCTTTCGGCTACCTGGATGAGCACACGGCTTTCCGGGGGCAGCGAGAGACGGGAGACGCGATGGTGCGTCCCGCCCTGGTCGAGTGGGTTGGCAAGCAGGTCGAACGCGATGCCAACATCCTGAAGCAGGTCCGAAAAGCCCGAGAAGAACGGGCCGATGCGGGCCATGGTCCAAATTAGCTTTGGACACGCAGCGGTCGTTCCCCCAGGCGCCCGCTGATCACCTTCTGAGGGGCTAGGCTCGCTGCGGCAGGCGCGCCTCGATTTTCTGCCAACAGAGGCGCAGGGCCGCGCCAGCATCTCCCCCTCCTCCTCCTGTCCTCCTCGTGCTCTGGCCATCGCGTGGCGCCTGGCCCCATGTCGAGAGCGTGCCCTCGTGATCTCTTCCCCTTGCCTGTGCCGGCCTCCTCTGACCCCCCTAGGACCTGTCTCGCGCAAAGTTCGGAGGAGATCCGAGGTCCACCGTCAGTCAGCATCCTTGGTCTCCGAGGTGGCTTCGGTCTTGAATCAGCTACACGGTCAACACGGTTTGGACAGCGGTCAAACAGTATCGGCGGCCCAGAAGGCGTGTTTGGAGCATATCCACCGAGCGGTTCTACGATTTGGCAAGCCCCCGGTAGACCTCACCTCAGCAGGGGCCTTACGAGAGCTCCGCGTCAACCCAGGCTACTCCGCGACGAGCAGCCCCGTGGTTCCCATCAGCGAGGCCAATATAAACAGAGTCGCCCTTCCTCCTGTCGGGTGGTCACCTGCTGGAATTTTGCAGCTGGGCGGCTCTGTCGGCGAAGCCATAGTGGATGAGTTGCATGCGCTACGGCGTCCTGACCCAGCACTTACAGATACTTCTACACCTCCTCCCAGAATTTACCACGATCCTTATCTCCGTTCTCATCCTCGGCTTTACGCGCGCTTCCTGCTTCGCCTCAGTCAGTCTAACCTTGTGACGTGGAGGCGAGAGTGTACATCTTGTGTGGGGGTCTTCTTTGTGGCTAAAAAGAACGGTGACCTTCGTTTGATCCTCGACGGGCGTCAGGCAGGCGAACATTTCGATGAGCCCCCTCACGTTGACCTAGCTACTGGTTCGGCGTTCTCGGCCCTGGAGTTTGACGGTGGGGGGCCCATCTACGTTGGAGAGACGGACATTGAGAATGCTTTCTATGGGATTCAGTTACCTCCGGAGTTTTGGCAGTTTTTCGGCCTTCCTCGAGTACGAGCTGGGGTCCTAGGTATCACTACCGACAGCGCTGGAGGCCCCATAAGGCCAGCGACTGGGTTACCCCGTGTTTTACCGCCGTCCCAATGGGATGGAAGCACAGTCTTTGGATCTGTCAGCGTATCATGGAGTTTCGGGCCCGCACCAACACGTTGGCCTCCCCCAGTCTGGCCTTTGACGATGCGCACCTTCCTGTCCGTCTGGTTCGATCTTCCACGCAGATATTACACACAGAGTACGTTGACAACTTCGTTGCCCTTGGCCTCTCGAAGGACCCCACGTATGCCGTGACTGACTCCGTCGATCGCAGTCTCCGGGACGCTGGGTTTCGCACCCACGGTCCGACGGCATCGGCTGGCGGGGGTGTTCTCGGTTGGACCTTCGACCAGGACGCCCCGACGATCGGGATCAGTCACCGCATAGGCTGGCGGATACGACTAGGGTGTCTGGCCGTCGCGAACATGAAGCACGCCTCGGGGGATCTTGTCAGGGTCGGCGTGTCACATTTCACGTCTCGTGCTCTGCTACGCCGTGAATTACGTTCATGTTTACAGGCTTCGTATTCCTTCATCGAGTCGTCAGGCCACAACACGCGCGTTCTCTGGAGTTCCGTCAAACGTGAGCTTCGTTGGTGCGCCGCTCTTATCGCACTCGATTTCCGCGACGTCAATGCCGCCTGGCCCCCCATGGTCTACTGCACCGACGCGTCCTGGTGGGGCGCGGGGGTCGTCAGGGGCATCCGCGGCGTCCAGGAAGTCCAGCACGCGGGCCACTACGCGGAGCGTTTGCGTTACTCAGCGGCCCACGAGGCCATCCTCAAGCCACGGGACTCGGCTCTGAAATGTTCGGTCAGCGGCGGTGTCACCGCCTCCCCCCAGGACTCCGAGATCCCGAAGTCCCAGTTCCCCGAGGTCCCTGAGTCGGTTTACGGCGGCGACTGGCCCCTCGTTATGTCCCAGAAGTGGTCCCACAAGGAAGCCCAGGTTGTCTTGGAGGCTCGGTCGCTCGTGCTCACCGCGAAGAACATAGTTCGGAACACTCAGAACTTCGGTTGCAAGCACCTGGTTTTGAACGATTGCATGGCTCCCATTCTTGCGTTTACCAAGGGACGATCGTCGAGCCCTGGGATTCTACAGCGTTGCCGTCAGACGGCTGCCATGTTGTTGGCCTCGAACTCGTATATCGGCCGGAGGTGGGCCCCATCAGAATCCAACGCAGCCGATGCCGCTTCTCGAGGTCGGGCAGGAGCTTTCCGATTCAATGCTGCGCCGAATCCAGTTGCAGCACTCGGGCCCGCGGGGCTCGAGGCCCTCCGCGATGGCTTCCTCGGCGACAGCCGCGACGGCGGGCCCGCAGCTGGCGCCGCGCCCCCCGGGCGCTCACGCCGGGGGCCTGCCCCGCGCGGAGGTGGCGCCCAACCTCCCGGCGCCCTCCTCGCGGCACCCACACCGCGAGCGGGTGCCCCACGGCCCCGGCGCCCAGGAGGAAAGGGCCGCCAAGCGGGCGAGGACCTTCCCTGCTGCCGCAGAGGCCCCAACGCCGCCGGGCGCGCCGACCTTCCTCGAGCTGCAGAGCATCTCGCCGAAGGCCGCCCAGGACTACCAGACGTACGCGGCGGCGTTCTACCAGTGGGGCCAGGAGCGCAACCTGTTCAGCGACATCGCGACCTCCCTGAGGTCGGCGCCGGCGATCGACCTTGCCCTCGTGACGTACATGCACGAGAAGTTCTTCGCAGGCGAACTCTCCTACGTGCCGACGAAGCTGATCGCGGGTCTCCGCTACTTCTGGACATACCCCAACGGAGCGCTCCTCGAGCTGCCCCGCAGCTTTCGCGCCCTGACGGGCTGGAAGCGCATGGTGCCCGCCCAGAGCCGCTTGCCGTACCCCTGGGTCGCCCTGCGCCTGCGCGTGCAGTACATGATTGCCGCGGGCCAGGTCATGGAGGCACTGGCCTGCATCATCACCTTCACGTTCTACCTGCGCCCGAGCGAGTGCCTGCGTCTGCAGGGAAAGCTGATCACAGCTCCTGCCCAGGCGCCTCGCCGTGTGCAGGACGGCCAGGGCCAGACGCGGCCCCTCCTCCTGCACCCGCAAGAGGGCGGCGACACGTCCAAGACGGGCCGCGTGGACGAGAGCCTGCTGGCGGACAACCCCCTGTTCCCGTGGCTGCCGCAGGTGCTGGGCCTCCTGAAGGCCAAGTTCCCCCACTCGCTGGTCTTCAACTTCGGCCAGGCGCAGTGGGGCCGGGCCTTGAAGGGCGCGGCAAGCGCCTGCGGGCTCAACGCCCTGGGCGACCCGTGCCTGCACCGCCTCCGCCACGGAGGGGCGTCGCACGACCTCCTCTTCAAGGCGCGCCCCCTCCTAAGCGCCAAGAAGCGCGGCCGCTGGGCAAGCGACCGCAGCCTAGCCCGTTACGAGCGGGGCGGGCGCATCAACGAGCAGCTGAGCCTCCTGACCCAGGACATCCTCATCGCCGCCGACCTGGCGGCCTCGAACATTGGCGTAACCCTCGTGAATGCCTTCCGCTCTTTGTGAAGCAGCGGGGCGTCCCCGCGGCGCTCGAGATCTTCGCAGGCTCCGGGCACCTCTCTGAGGCCTGGCGCCGATCCATGAGGTTGGCTGGCCACCCTGTTTTCGAGATCGACATACGGCACGGGGTGGAGCACAACATGTGCAGTAAGGCCCTGGTCAAGTTGATCCGGGGCTGGGTCCAGGGTGGGCTCGTGATGGCCGTGTTCATGGGCACGCCGTGTAACTCTTTCTCTTTGGCAAGGAACCGCCCAAACGGCCCCCCGACCCTCAGGACGTCCGAGTACCCCGAGGGCCTCCCCGAGCTCAAGGACAGCTGCCGCGAAGAAGTCGACCTCGGAAACTCCCTGTGTGCCGCGAGTTTCAGTATCTTTCGTGAATGCCGTCTACTTGGATGCCCAGTGATCGTCGAGAACCATGCGAGCTCCCACCTCTGGAGGCAGCCCCTGGTCCTCAAGGTCCGGCATCTTCCTGGTGTTTCAGAGGTGGTTTTCGACATGTGCGCCTTCGGCACCATCTGGAGAAAATCCACTCGACTTCTTGGGTGTCACGTTGATCTTCGACCACTGGATATTCGATGCAGAGGCAGAGGTGTATGTACGTTCACTGGCTCCCCTCATTTTACCTTGGAGATGAAAGGCTCCAAGATCGTATCGAAGCAGGCGGAGGTCTACCCCTTCTCCGTCTGCCGGGCCATTGTGAGTGTATTTCGTCCTGCTCTATTGCAACAACGTGCTAATAAATGTCGGCCTCATGTTTGAGTCCAGGGCGGTGTTCGCGGAGGTTTTCCTGTTCCTGGGCTATACACTGGTTCGGATTTTCTACAGTACTGTTTCCTGGTCTGTACGTTGTCCCCTCCCCTGCAGTCTTGGGGGCAAGCACATCCCAACACAGATCGTGTCCCTGGCGACGGAGAAAACATCAGCCCATGCATTTGAATACTTCAGTAAAGGTTTGCTTGGAAGAGAATTGCAGAGTGCGCCGCCCTGCCGCAACCGCGGGGCTCAAGCTTTCACCCAATACCCTCCCTCCCTTCTGTAAAGCTGGCCGAGGCATAGGCAGGCGGATTTTCTACAGTACTGTTTCCTGGTCTGTACGTTGTCCCCTCCCCTGCAGTCTTGGGGGCAAGCACATCCCAACACAGATCGTGTCCCTGGCGACGGAGAAAACATCAGCCCGTACCGTGTTCAGACCGTGTGGGTTGAGAAATGTGCGCGTTGGTTCAGCACGTGTTGGCCACGCTTTGGCGATCGTGTCGCGCCAGACCTACGTGCTCAATGGCCAGAGCGATTGCATTGCCCTTCTCCACAGGGGGCGGCGCTTGGGCGCGAAGAAAATCGCGCATCGCGGGGCGCTTGAGATGCAACTCCCTGGAGGTTTGATTCGGCATCTGCGTTGGTATATCCGCGGTCAAAAACTGGCCCAATCCGGCATAATCCCGCGTCGTTCCGCTTAGGCTTGGCTTAATCCTGGGCTTAACCCGGCTCAACGCACCCTCAATCGGGCGCATTGTTTCATTTTCATTATTACGAAGGCCTCCCAGGAGTTGCCTCCCAAGAGCGCGATACGCGAAGTTAGTAGACTTAGATCCTCCTCGATCCTCCGCCACAGACCCACCGTGTGATGACTTGTCTCTTAGCCTCAACGCTGCTGTATAGTTCGCAATGTGCTGCTTGCACGGCCCCCTTGTGGGGCCTCTGAGACAAATGATTGCGGAGGTGCGGAAGCGCTGCCGCAATCCCGCTCATCCCGTCTACGCTAAATTGTACGCAACCGTCTTGCCAGAAAGTGAATTCGGGACGGCCTTCACGTGGTGCTCAAAGACTGGGGGAGGACACAGTGTGACCCCCCTTCGTACTGCTGGTATGAAACATCAAACGTCTGTTGTACGACAACGGGTAGTAATACGAAAGGCACCTTGAAGAAACGATCCTCTGGCGCAGACTCACTGGTAGTGATGATGATGATGGTGATGATGACGATGATGATGATGATGACGATGATGATGATGATGACGATGATGATGATGATGTTGATGATGGTGTTGATGATGCTGGTGATGATGATGATGATGATAATGATGCTGATGTTGATGTTGATGTTGATGATGCTGGTGCTGATGGTGGTGGTGATGGTGATGGTGATGGTGATGGTGATGGTGGTGGTCATGATGAAGATGATGATGGTGATGATGATGATTATGATGATGATGATGATGATGGTGATGATGATGATGATGGTGGTGATGTCGATGATGATGGTGCCAATGATGGTGATTTTGATGATGATGATGATGATGATGATGCTGTTGATGATGATGATGACGATGCTGTTGTTGATGACGATGACGATGATGATGATGATGATGATGATGATGATGATGATGATGATGATGATGATGATGATGATGATGATGCGAATTCAGCTGATGCTGCTGATGATGCTGATGATGCTGATGATGAGGATAAGGATGAGGATGAGGATGGCGCCTCTGCTGCCCGGCGAGGGCGGGCAGGCTGCGGCCGCCTCGGGGCCTTCGGGGAGGAGTTCACGTGGGCAGGGCGGCTTCAGGCGCGGACGAAGGCCCCTCCTCCGCGGCGGCGGCGACGACGGACGCCCGACGACGACCGACGACGACGACGACGACGACGACGACGACGACGACGACGACGACGACGACGACGACGGCGACGACGACGGCGACGGCGACGGCGACGGCGACGGCGACGACCGACAGACCGACCGACCGACCGACCGACCGACCGACGACGACTGACGGACGGACGTTCGGACCACGACGACGATGATGACGCCGACGACGACGACAACAACGACGACGACGACGACGACGGACGACAACGACGACGACCGACCGACCGACCGACCACCCGACCGACCGACCGACCACGACGACGGACGACGACTACGACGACCGACGACCGACCGACCGACCGACCGACCGACCGACGATGACGACGACGACGACGACGACCGACCGACCGACCGACCGACGACGACGACGACAGAAGACGACGACGACGACGAGAGACAACAACGACGACGACGACGACGAAGACGACGGCCGAAGACGACTTGGCAGGCGCGCCGCTGGGCGCCCCCTGGAGGCTCATGGAGGCCTCTGCACTCTGGATTATTTCCCCGTTCTCTTCCTCCTCCTTGTTGCTCCTCATCCTCATTCTCCTTCTCATCCTTCTCGTTTGGCCTCCCCCTCCTCATACTTCCCCCTCCTTACAGTCAACCCGCATAGCAAGGATGAGCAATTTTCCAAGGTTGCCCTTGCACCCTTCCCCTTCGGCCCCCTTGGCCGCTTTCGCTGGCCGCGCCCCGCTATCAAGGTGTCGACATGGTCTTCCAAGGCCCTTGCATCCTTATCGCGCGTCCTTATCATTCCTCCTCCTCCGGTACCGTCGTTTACCGCCGTCTCATTCCTCCTCCTTTTCCCTCCTCATCCTCCCTCCTCCTCCCCGTCCCCCTCCTCCCCCTCCTTCTCCGATCTCTCCCGGCGGCATCAACAGGCCGAGGCCGCGGCCACGACGGCGCAGGCGAGGTGTCAGGCCGACGCTCGCCGAACGATGGAGCCAAACTCACGGGGGCCGCATCGCTGCTCTTCCGTTGTCGCCGCGGCTGGATTCGCCTCGCCACGGCTGGATTCGCCCCGACCTCGCTACATGTCCCCCGCCGCCGCCACGCATGGCTCCGCTTCGCCCGGAGAGATGCCGACATCGCCGCCCTCTCCCGTCGTCGCCGCGGCCAGAGTCGCGCCAGAGTCTTGGCCAGGACGCACCCTTTGTTGAGAGGTCTGTGAAGCCACGGCGTCGGCACTCGTCCGTCCCCCGAGGGGAGTGGAGGAGCAGCGGCGGGCTCGACGAGGCGGGAGAGGGGGTGTCCCTCGGCCCTCCCGGGGGGGGCTCCTGGTCGCGGCGTGGGGCTCCTCTTGCCCGGGACTCCCAGATGGGGTCCGAGCAGCTGGGGTCGGGGAGTCACGCCGCATCGCCAACACATGGCCGATGCATCGCCGATGCGGCTCGATGTGGAGCCCGATCTTCTCCACGCCGACGTCGCCAGTGCATCGCCGACGTCGCCCATGTATCGCCGAGGCATCGCCGATGCATCGCTGTTTCATTGGTGGTGCAACGACGATTCGGCGCGATCCCCCGACACCATCTACTCCGACCCCATCTGGGAGGCCTCTATCCTGGAACGTCCTGGAACCCCTCCAGAGGGCCCTCTTGCGCCACATTGGGGTTCCTCGTGGGAGCGTCTTGAGCCCTCGTTCTGCCGTGCTGGGGCCCTCTGAGAGCCTTGTTTGGGCCCTCCGTTTGGTTTTCCCGTGTTGAAAGGAAAACGCAGCGATGTATGATAGTAAAGTTAAAGGCGTTGTATAGCGATAGCCCTGTTATGAAAAGCTCAAAGTCATGGTCATGAATATCGTGGGAATCTCAAGCGAGAGCCCATTGTGAAAAGGTACCGCCATCCATACGTGCACGTTTTTACCATGTGGGTATTCGGGACGTAGAATTTTCATATTGTATTTATACAATACGACATAGCCCCGACAAAACTTCAAGCGAGAGTCGTATTTTCAAGACATACCAGCTACCGGCCTTCATCTTTGTAAGTGTCGCAAACTTCCAAGGCGAATGTCCGCGGCGATAAGGCGAGAGTCGCAGTTTGAAAACGACCGGCCCTCCATCAATCTAACTATTTGAGTTGTGATACCTTCAGGATAGGAAGGTGTCAGGAAGTCTCAAGCGAAATGCCCAGCCCAGCCTCCAGGCACTTCTGGTGGTTCGACAGGGGGAGTTATTAGATTAGGATCAGGCATGGATAAGGAAGAGAACGACGAGGAGGAGCAGGAGGAGGAGGACGACGACGACGCTTCCTGGGGGTTTTCTACAGGGCCTCTTACCATCTGACGCCTTCGGAGGCCGTCTCGGGGGTCTCTCTGGGACATCACGCCCTCTGGGGCGCTTGAGGGCCATTTTGGAGGTCTATTGGGCCGTATTTGGAGCCTTGGGCCGTGTTGGGGCTGTCGTGGGAGAGTATTGGGCCGTCTTGGAGCTATCTTGGAGGCCCATGGCCCATGGGCCGTCTTCAGACGCCCGAAGCTTAGAAAAAAATGTGCGAAAAAACAACCACAAAAAGGAAGAGGAGAGGGAGGAGAAGGAGGAGGTGGAGGTCGAGGAGGAGGCCTCTTGGGGCCGTCTTGGGGCCCTCTGCGGCTTCCTAGGTCTCTTGGGGGCCTCTGAGGCGCCTCTTGGGTGTCGTCTGGCGCCGTCGGAGCCGTTTGGCGGGCCTTTCAAGGCCGACTTGGGGCCTTCTTGGGGCGCTTTTTGGCCGTCCTGGAGGTCTACTGGGCCGTCTTGGGGACGTCTTGGGTCGTCTCGGGGCTTTCGTGGGAAACCCTTAGGGCCGTCTCGGGCTGTCTGAAGCACGAGAAGGCGAGAACGCATAAACCAGTGCAGCAAAATATGAGGGATGATTTGGGCATCTTCTTAGGATCCTCCTGGAAGCCATCTTGCAGCATCTTGGGCACCTCGCAGGCTGCGTTGAGGCCATCTTGGACCATCCTGAGCCGTCTTGGAGGCGTCTTGGGACCGCCTTGGAAGCATTGAAATGTATGAAGCTCCTCCGAAAAACGTATGAAGTTCCTTCGAGGTTCGCCGAGGCCGCTGAGGTGTTCGGCGGGTTGTGCCAGAGGCTCTTTTGGGTTCTACGCGCCAAGCACCACTTTGAGAGCAAAAGGGGGCGGCGGATCGAGGACGCCTACGGAGAATCATCGTTGACCCTTGCCTTTTGGAAGCGCCGGTGTGGCCGAACGTTCTGGCCAGAGCTCGGCCAAGCTATCGGATCGTGGGTTTCCCCAGCCGTTATGGATATGCTTCGGGGAACACGTGGGGGAGAAAGAAGAAGAGGACGAGAGGTATCGTCGGGTTTTCGTCAAAATTCTCTCGGAGCCATCTTGAGGGCCACTTGGGCCGCCTCGGGCCCGGCCCGTCTCGGGCTGTCCTGGATGCATCTTTGGTCGTCTTGGAGGCATCTTGGGGCCATTCTGGGCTATCTCGGGGCCATCGTTGCCTTCTTGGACACCATCTTGGCCGTAATTTTTGGAGGCCATCTTGGGGCCGTCGGGAGCGGGAAGACCGATGGACTGGGAAGTCTACGGGTGTCCAATGCGGCGGGAAGACCGATGAACTGGGAAGCTCACGGGTCCTTCCGGGTGGCTGGCGCGATCGGCCGAAGGCCCGCTGGGAAATTCCGAGATGACCAAAAGTGACATAGCAGCTGGCGGGTCCAGCGGTCCTCGGCCCACCCCGCCACGGTGCCCAGGCTGCGGTTCTAGGCGCCACGCGGAGGATTGACAGCCACAGCGAATCCCGAAGAGAGGCAAGCCGGATGGCCGAAGCAGGGAAGACGGGAGTCTCAGGAGGAAAGTGGGGCGGTAGAGGAGGAGGGCGAGGAGGGCGAGGACGAGGAAGCGGAGGTGGCAGGGGGATTGCAGCCTCAGGTAGCGCGGTCTTTTAGAAAGATTGCCCTTTTCATGGTGCCGTGTGCTCATTCAACAGAGGCCTCGGCATCGGAACTGCGTGTAAGCAGCCACAGCGTGTTCCCAGCCGTGGTCCTGCCCCAACCCCACCGGTTGCGTCCCCGCGAACCGAAGGGGGCCTTTGACGGGCCCCCTTCTGAGGTTTTTTGTGTGGGCCCTCTTGGGGGTCTTTTCGGCATCGTGGCCGGGAGGAGGGGGCGGATACCCGACCGTGCTCCTGGGGCCCCGGTCGCGGGGCCCTCTCGGGCGCCTCTCGGGCCGTGTTGGTCGTTTTTGAGGCCGAAGGGGCGGGCGGCCAGCGTAGAAATGTCACAAAGACCAGCTTTGGGATGGCTTGGGCCTCTTGAGCTGGCCCCTAGGACAGCAGGACGGGTCATTTGGGCCATCTTGGAGCATGCTGGAGGCCCGGGCGTCGGAGGGGGAAAGTCGCGCGACGAGCCGCAGGAGCCTCGCGGAGCACCCAAGAGTTCCAGGGCCCCTGGCATTCCATTGCGTGCTGGTGGCACGGAAGCGGATAAGGAAGAGAGATGGAGGGGGGAGAGGACGCACGGCTGCAGGAGCAGGAAGAGGAGGGGGGAGGGGAAGGAGGGGAAAGAGGAGGCGGCGGCGGAGGCAGAGGAGGCGGAGAATGAGGAGGCGGAGGGGGAGGAGCTGGAGTGGGGAGGAGGACAGCAAGAGGCGGAGGCGGAGGATAATGGAGAAAGGGGGTGCGAGGAGAAGCAGCAGCAGCAGCAGCAGCAGCAGGAAGCCTGGGGACCTGCGGAGGAGGGGCGGGAGGAGGAGATGAAGTAGGGAAACGGTATGGGAAACGAGGAGGAGGAGGAGGAGGAGGAGGAGGGATGAGAAGAGAAGGAGGATGAGGAGAAGTTACCTCTGTTCATCAGTAGGCCTACCAACTGCAACTTGCACAACCGGCACGTGAAACAAGAAACCGGCCTGCCAGCAGGAGCCCCACGGAGATTTCTTGTCCCCCGGAGGCTGTGGGGAAGCACAGAAGCCCTGGGCACCCTGGAGTACGACAGGCGGGATGATCTGCACTGGGAGCCCGAGGGTTTGCGACGAGAGGGGCATAATTGAGGCAGCAGGAGTGCAGCATGACATGCTCGCCCCCATCTCCCGTTCACGCCTTCTGATCCCCCTTTCGCTTCCCCTTCTCTTCAGGTTTCATGTCCCTCCGCCTCCAAGAATCCTCAAAGTTATAACACGAGGAGGGGCAGCAGCCAGCAGGGAGATTCCGCTGCCAGGCGAAGATGTATCAGTTGACCGCATCATGCTCAAGGTGTACACGCCTGAGGGCGAGAACATCCAGATTCTAACCTCCCAAATAGTGCTGCCAGGGGTTGGAAGCATAGACTGCCCGTCTAGACGATCGTCAACCCAGGTCGCCCGATCGATGCCTGGTGGATCATTTTCTACCCAGCGCTCCTTCTCCAGGTCCCCAGGGTTGATCCACCCGATCATCCGATGGAGGGGTCGCCGATACGGGCCACAGCGCGCCGCCTCTCCGACCACGGCCAGGGCTGGAGCTCACAACGGATCGGGGAGGCCCGCCGAGGTTGAGGGGCAGCTCGGCATTCTACGGGGCCACGCGCCCATGCTGGCCCCTGTAACCACGGGCCTGGTCAGGTACAAGCGCCAGGGTAAGTGGAACCCCCTGGTGGTCTTCGGCGGCTACGCCTCGGTCGAGAGCAACATTGTCACGATCCTCTGCACCAACTGCGAGAAGGCCGCGGACGTCCCCGAGGCCACGCGGATGCGGCCGGCCAGGGCTGCTTCGACTGAAGCAATGATTGTTCCCCCCGCCCTCGTGAGACACATGCCCCGCTATGCGCAGATATCCCACCCAGAGCTCCAACGATTCCAGTAGGACCTCCCAGCTGGAGGACGGGGAGGAGAGAGAGGAGGAGGGAGCAGGAGAGGGGAGGGGAAGTGCGACGGGGGGGCATTAAAAACCCCTCCTCGCCTTGCTCCCCCCTCTAGACCAGGGGGGCGGTTAGATACCATCAGCTAACCCACGCGCGAGAAGAGGCCTGCGGCGACGGACAGAGGAGAGAGACGGAGCGGGATAGGGATTCGCGGCAATAGGGAAACGAAGGAAAAGGAGGAGGAGGAGGAGGAGGAGGAGGAGAAGGTCGGGAGAGGCAGAGTATAAGGGAAGGCGAGGAAGAGGGGGAACAAGAGGAGCGAGTGAGGAGCGGCGGTGTGAGAGCGACATCAGCGCGAAAGGGAGAACTGCGGCATTGCTGCTCGGGGCAGCGCCAGTAAGACAAGCAGCACCATGCGTAGTAGTACCAACAGATCCAGCGACATCACCTAAGTAAGAGTTGTGCTTCGGCGGCGAGCGAAGGTGGAAGGTGAGAAGGGGCGGGCCTTCTGAAAAGTGTTTGGAGCTTTCCCCGAAGACATAGAAAACCGTTCAGAAGGTGCGAAGCCTTTTGGGAAGCCCCGCCGCCTTCTGAGAAGGCTTTCTCCTTCTCGCTTCCCCCCCTCGCTCGCCGCCGAGTGCTAGCGCCCAGAAAGATTCAGAGTGACAACACCAGCATGAATTCTTGACGCATCGCGTATTTGCACGAGTCCGCAGCCTGACTCAAGCCACTGGCTCAAGCCGTGTCGGCTCGAGGTTGGTCGGCGCGACCTGGGTCCGCTGCTTCCAGGGCCAGCCGGATGGAGCCGCCCTCTGCACGGCGGCACCGGCTGCGCCGCGCCGCCGCCGCCCGCGCCGCACCGGCGCCCCTCCCTGGCCAACCGCCCGCTCAGAGGGCCGCCGGCCCTGCGGCCGCTCGCGCTGGCCTGGCTGGCGCTCGCGCGCGCCGCCCGCCCCCCGGGCTAAGCCGCCGCCGCCGCCGCCGGTTGCGCGGCCCTGGGCGCCGCCGCGACCTCCCGCCCGGCCGCCGCTGCCGCGGCCGCCTGCGGCGCGGCCCTGGGCGCTGCCGCTTGCGCCGCCGCGACCGCGGACGCTGGCGACGGCGCCGCCGCCGCGGCCGCCGCCGCGGCCGCGGGCGCTGACGCCGCGGCCGCGGCCAAGGCGGCCTCTGCGGCCGCCCTGGCCGCTGGCCCCGCCCTGGAGGACCATCATAGGAGACACCAACCACAAAATAGAAATCACAGCGGCGATTAGCTGCGACCCCCGAGGATTGGCGCACAAACATGGCAGCGCTGGGATCAGGGGACACACCTACCATCAAATTGTGATGAGCGGCGGTTAGCTGCGACCCCCGAGTCAACGCAAGGGACCGCAACCGGACACAGCGACCCTGGACGCACGAGGGGGCCTGCCTGAACCACGGGCCCGGGGCCTCCCCCGGGGGCTCAAGGCACTCTCGCATCCCGGCTCTGGCAGCCAAGGGCCGCCCTTCGCCACCGCCCCGTGCGCGCTTTGTTTTCACGGCGCCCACTGTCATCAGTTGCAGCGCTGAGAGCAGGCCCGCGAAGGGTGGGCACTGGCAGCAGCTCCTTCCCGCCCATCTGTGACTGCAGTGGGATCTGAGTGTGTGTCCCGCGGGTGCTCCTGGGGCTCTTGCCTCCTGGCGCTGTCCTCCCTGGGGCGTCTGCCGTTCGGGCTCGGGTCCGCCCTCTGGGGCTCAGGTACTCTTGCATCCCGATGCTGTCGGCGGAGGCGGAGGCGCCATCCTATCAATAGAGATCCACGTGCTCCTGCGCAGTGCCGGGATGTGGGAAGCTAAGTTGGAGCCCGCGTCGCCAGCGGCAGCGCTGGGATCAGGGGGCGCACTTACCATCAAATTGTGATGAGCGGCGGTTAGCTGCGACCCCCGAGTCAATGTAAGGGACCGCAACCGGACACAGCGACGCTGGACGCACGCGGGGGCCTGCCTGAACCACGGGCCCGGGGCCTCCCCCGGGGGCTCAAGGCACTCTCGCATCCCGGCTCTGGCAGCCAAGGGCCGCCCTTCGCCACCCCCCCGTGCGCGCTTTGTCTTCACGGCGCCCACTGTCATCAGTTGCAGCGCTGAGAGCAAGTGCGTGAAGGGTGGGCACTGGCAGCAGCTCCTTCCCGCCCATCTGTGACTGCAGTGGGGTCTGAGTGTGTGTCCCGCGGGTGCTCCTGGGGCTCTTGCCTCCCGGCGCTGTCCTCCCTGGGGCGTCTGCCGTTCGGGCTCGGGTCCGCCCTCTGGGGCCCAGGTACTCTTGCATCCCGATGCTGTCGGCGGAGGCGGAGGCACCATCCTATCAATTGGGATCCACATGCTCCGGCGCAGTGCCGGGATGTGGGAAGCTAAGTTGGAGCCCGCGTCGCCAGCGGCAGCGCTGGGATCAGGGGGCACACTTACCATCAAAGTGTGATGAGCGGCGGTTAGCCGCGACCCCCGAGTCAATGTAAGGGACCGCAACCGGACACAGCGACCCTGGACGCACGCGGGGGCCTGCCTGAACCACGGGCCCGGGGCCCCCCCCGGGGGCTCAAGGCACTCTCGCATCCCGGCTCTGGCAGCCAAGGGCCGCCCTTCGCCACCCCCCCGTGCGCGCTTTGTCTTCACGGCGCCCACTGTCATCAGTTGCAGCGCTGTGAGCAGGCGCGCGAAGGGTGGACACTGGCAGCAGCTCCTTCCCGCCCATCTGTGACTGCAGTGGGATCTGAGTGCGTGTCCCGCGGGTACTCCTAGGGCTCTTGCCTCCCGGCGCTGTCCTCCCTGGGGCGTCTGCCGTTCGGGCTCGGGTCCGCCCTCTGGGGCTCAGGTACTCTTGCATCCCGGTGCTGTCGGTTCAGCGGAGGCGGAGGCACCTATCAATTGGGATCCACATGCTCCGGCGCATTGCCGGGATGCGGGGAGCTAAGTTGGAGCCCAGGTCGTCAAGGGCAGCGCTTGGATCAGGGGGCACACCTACCATCAAATTGTGATGAGCGGTGGTTAGCTGCGACCCCCGAGTCAATGAAAGGGACCGTTACTGGACACACCAACCATCAAATAGAGATCATAGCGGCGAGAATTCGGTGACAGGGGGACGTCGGCAGAAGCAACCCCCCTGCGCGCCAGCCTACCGGCCCGTCGTTTCAGGCCTCAGTTTTGGCAGCTTCTCTCCAGCGGCGAGTAGCTGCGACTCCCCAGGACCCACCCCCGGAGGCGCATCTCGCTGCTGGCCCACATTCCGCGTCGACTGCGGCCCTGGTGGGCCGTCACCCGTTCGCAGTGGACTGCGGCCTCGGTGGGCCATCACCCGTTCGCACACATTCAACAGAGACCTCAGCGGCGATTAGCTGCGACCCCCTCGATGGAAAATGGATCCTAGCGGCGATTAGCTGTGACCCCCGTTCTTCCACGCAGGTGCTCGCGGCGAGTAGCTGCGACCCCCAGGACGTTCCATGTGGCAGGCCGCGGCCCTTGGCCCACGGCTGCAGGGTACCTGGCCGTGGGGAGAGGCGTTACGTCCCCTCGCCTCTCCCCTCCCAGGCTCGGTGGGCGTCCCCCACCCGTGGCTTCGGGGCTCGCCCGACGCGGCATTTGCGTGTGGGCTGTGGCCCCCCCCTCCCTGCTGCACCGTGGCTCGCGCTGGTCATGGTCCTCCTTGGCCCCTCCAGCGGCAGTTTCCCCGGCTTTGGGGTATCTGGCGCGTGTCGGCGCTAGGGCTCTCTGGGGCAGCGCCATGCGACCGTCTGGGTTGGCTTGCCACCTCAGCTTCACTGCAGCAGGACCCCCCTGGCAGGCAGCGCAGACGTCACCACCATCAGTGTGCCGACCATCACCACCCGACGGCGGTGCTCCCCACGCTAGCGGAACTCTTCGCTTCAGGGATCGGCATCGCAGTGGCGCCTTGGGATACGCATGGCTCCCCTCGGCACTGGAAGGCGGATTACCGAGGACTGGGCGCTGAGTGGTTCAGCCTGCACCGCCTGTACAGCCTTTGGTTTTCCCTCTGTCGCGCACTGTTTCTGGCTTCGGCCGCACAACCGTTCGGCTTGTGCTGGTCGGCCACGGAATCTGGCGCCGCCCTGGCGACTCACTTCGTTGCATCCGCACATTCAACACGGCGGCCTGCTCACTGTGGTTCGGGCTGCCGTGCCTAAGTGCGTTGGCCCTCTGAATTTAGTTCATTTTGTTCTGTGCACGTGCAACTGCGAGTTTCTATTGCAGGTGCGAGCTTTGTCCGCCGACTCTGGCGGCAATTGTCTTGCAAATTAGCCTTGTACCGTGTCCCGGACGCCGCTTCCGCTCCCTGTCCGTTGCCTCGGAGCCGCCGACCAAAAAAAGTATTTGCACGAGTTAGCTCGGCCCGCGGCCCGGACCCTTCAACTCGGCGCCTGCGCTTCCGCTAGCGCCCGCGAACAAAAAAAAAAAAAAAAAAAAAAAATGCACGAGTTGCGCGGCCCGCTCGGACCTCACTCGCCGCTGGCGCCCTCGCCTGCGGTCGCGGACAAAAAATCTGCGCGAGATAGCCTGCCCCTGCTTGCCCGGCGTTCGACCCGCTTCGCGCGCCCGCGTACCAAAAGTATCCGCACGAGCCCATACAGAAAGGATGCCCAGGGGAGTCGTCTGGAGGAGGGGCGTAGGTAAGCACGAAGCGAAGCAAGGAGGCCTACGATGGTAAAACTAGACTTCAGGTAGACGTTTACAGCAATGTTGTAAATGTGTCTCTCTTTCTCTTTCTCTCTTTCGGGGCCATCGTGGGACCCTGTTGGAGGTCTCTTGCAGTTCTTTTAGGGCCCTGACGGGGGCTTGGGGCTTCATCATAGGACCAGCTTGGAGACCATCAATCAAGGAAGGGGGGTACCCCCGTCGGATGCTTTTGAAATTTTCTGCAGTTTAGATGTTTGAAGGAATCTGGCTTCTCGCGGACGTTTTTGGGAGACCCCGTGGCCACTTGGAGTTCTCTTGGGGCTGCCTGGGGGCCTCGTGGGAGAATGTTACAGGCTATGTTGCGTCATCTAGGACTGTCTTGTGTCATCCTGGAAGTAAGTTTGGGTTACTTGGGGCCATATTGGAGCTAGATCGAGTCATGTTGGACGCTCTGCCG